GTCCTTTACAAGCACTCTTGAGATTATTCTGGGGCCATCCAAATAATACATGATAATCCCTTCTTCTTCGCAAGATCCTTAACTTAATCACAGTCCGCAAGTCCCTTTTGCCATTTAAGGTAACATTCAAGGCCCTGGGGTTAGGATGTGGACCATTGTTCTGCCTACCATGGACTTTATGTTTGCTTTTGTTCATCTCTGTTTTGAAATTGAATTCTTTAAGATATTTCTCAAAAGCTACCTTCTAATAGAAACATCTAAGAATTCCCTTCAGTTGTCTCTCTGATGCTGGTGAATATTGCTGTCTTTCTGAGATTTTTTTTTTTTGTGTTCTTTCTTAAGCATCTAAATTATGGATATACATGTATGTCTGTCCCACTGAATCTCCATCTTGTTGAAGGCAGGGACATTCATAATTAGTTCATTTCCTGAACTACCAACTTACCTCAGATTTTTGCCTATTATGTTTTAAAATAATATTTATTAAATTTCACTTAAACAAATATTGGTGTAAAAAAAAGGAGCTTAATATTTTTAGAAATTTGTTGTTAGGAAGAAAATGCATTTCAACTTACATATTTGAAATCACAATGTCCTATTGACAGTGTAGGGGCCATGTCCAGAGTGCGCCAGATGTTCAAGACCAATCTGAGCATGGGAATCCCAATCAGAGTGTTCAAGGCTAATTTGCTGTATGCAGGTGCAAAAGCAAGGACACAGCAATAGTACTGTACCCACTGACTGTGCAGGCATGCCTTTCTGTAACCCAAATATTGATTTCACTATTTGAAGAGAAGCCTCCTTTGTCTAAGTTAGTATAAAGATGTGTTGCTGACCATCTGAGGCTACGCTGCTTTTATATAGGGGCGGCTGCTTTATATGGCTCCTGTGTTTGCTATTATATTAGGAAAGGCTACTGCGTGAGCAATAGTTCCTATGTTTGCTGGACAGCTTTGTGTGACAGCTTTGTTAGCTGCTGCCTTGTAAGATTACTTTGAAGAACTGTTTTGTCTAATGGCTCCTATTATAGTTAGCAATGACTACATGGTCTGCAATAAAGTCTCACTTATATACCTATTGGCGCCTCATAACTTGTTCATATCAAACACAATGTCCATGAAGGTCCAGTCCCTGACAGAGGGACACGAACCCATAAGTTGGCATAGTCAGGAGGATGAAGGAGTGAGTACTCTCCAACAGCCAGTTACTTGAATTAGCTTGTAAGATAGCATCTGGCAGACAAAGGGAAGCTACCCTGTAATAATTTTCTGTTGATTGATACAGAGTGGTGGAGAAGGTACAAGGCATTGGTATGTGGGGCACATGAGCCATGGGTGTCTGTTTCTATGCATGTTGAACATATCTAAAGGGGTGTACCCTGGATCTGATGTTGCGAGTCAAATAAGCAAAATATTTTCCTTATTTTTGATAATTAATAGTTAATACACCTAAAATGTAGACCAAAACTTTATAGTAAATAGAGGGAAAGGTTTGAATGGGATATTATCTTGAAAAGTAATGCTAAAATTATAAAACTTTATAACATTTTTAAATTATAAAGAACTAATGTAATGCTTTATTACCTAAGTTCATAGCTCTGTAATTACTAGGGGCTCAGTGCACAAATTCGTACACCTTGAAAGGAACTGTGGGCTGAGAGGCTGCAGCATGCACAGGAGCAGGTCTCAGCTCATCCTCAGCGCCCTTGCCCAGCTCCTCCCACCATGGCCCCCAGTCCTCTGTCTGCCAGCAGCTACTCTCATGTGCTCATGGTGCCGCCCCACTTGCACCCATTAAAGGCACAGAGCAATTAGGGCTAGCACCAGCAGCAGTGTGAGTGGGGCTGGCATTGACAGTGGGTGCAAGCGGCAGATGCTGCTCAGATTGTCCTACATGAGCAGGGGGAGCTGGAGAAGCCCTCAAGGGTGATCAGGGCTGGCAGCCACCACTCACACCCACTGATGGCACCTAGCAATCAGGACCAGTGCTGGGCAGTGGGAGTGAGAGGCAACTGCTGGCCCTGATCTCCCCTCAGGAGCAGGGGGAGGTGGAGAAGCCCTGAAGGGCAATTGGGCCCAGCAGCTGCTGCTTGCACCCCCTGATGGCACCAAGTGATTGGGGCTGGTGCCAGGTGCTGGCAGTGGGTGTGAGTGATGGTTCTGGCATCATGAGCACAGCAGGTGTGAATAGGGCTGGCATTGGCAGCTGGTGCAAGTGCTAGCTAGGACTGCAGTATGCGGGAGCAAAGAATTTTCAGTAACCACTAGAGGCCTGCCCCAATGACAGTAACCTACAACCCCCCTTGGTCTGGCGTCCCACTCACCTGCTCCATTAATTTGCTGCAGCCGATGCCTACTATATTCCTTGCACGCCCCCTGGTGGTCAGCACATGTCATAGTAACCAGTTGTTTGGTTGTTCTACAGTTTGGGCTATTTTGCATATTAGCTTTTTATTATATAGGATTCATATTGCATGCTTTCAAGTTGGTATAATATGACCTAATATTCCAGTATGATCTTCTGAGAAGTTAGTGTAAGTTGTTGTAAACCCTCTGTTGTGTTGTCTTCAGTTTCTTTTAGTCAGCACAGAACTTACCTATTCCTGCCTCTTTCCCTTTCCCCTCCCCCAACTCCAGTGTCCCAAGGAAAGAGTGGCATCAGTTGGCAGGTTCGCTGATATTTAGAATCTGCACACCATAGGAAAATACTTTTTGGTTGAAAATAGATTTTAAAATGTGTAACTTGTTATGGTCACAAAGTTTCTGTGGTAAAATTTTGAAAGCTCAGTCTTTTAGCAGCATTTTCCTTTGTTTTTTTTAATTAACTGAATTCTTAGTGACCACAGATGGAGGATACAGTTGTAGCTGCAGGTAGACTGCCAGCCTGCCTTCAAGTTAAGCGCTCTGCAAGTAGGGACAGGCAGATGCTTATCGCCTATGAACTAAGGCTGGTGCAGACTGTGAGACTTAATTTACATCCTCTTTCACCCGGTCAACATGCTTTATGATTAGCTGTCTTTTCTGCTTTTCTTGCTACAACACAAGCTTTTTGGGAACAGGGACCACATTTTTGAAACTTTTGTTTCCCACCTTGTATCTTCTTATGGGTACTTCCTATGTACTTTGAAGTGAATCGACTTGTTCCTAGACTTGTCTTAAAAACATGAACATATCTACATATGTTAAAGAGGATTCTTTTCCTTTATGCTCTTTTTTTAAAAAATATATTTTATTGATTTTGTACAGAGAGGAAGGGAGAGAGATACAGAGTTAGAAACATCGATGAGAGAGAGTCATCGATCAGCTGCCTCTTGCACACCCCCTACTGGGGATATGCCCGCAACCAAGGTACATGCCCTTGACCAGAATCGAACCTGGGACCCTTCAGTCCCCAAGCCGACGCTCTATCCTTTGAGCCAAACTGGTCCCGGCCCTTTATGTTCTTTTTAATAGACCTCTAGGTTAAGTAGAGCCTGTTAACTTAAATTGGGAAAGTCAGCCACTTATCCTCTTGTACCATATTTTCATCTGATCTTTACAATGCAGGAGAAAGTAAACAATTGTGTAAATGTGGTGTGATGCACATTACTTATTAGATTCATTTATTAAAACTGGTGGCAGTGCTTTTAGGGCAACTTCTTTAGTTTTCTTTAGTATTCTCAAAGTCAACATGTCGTGCTTCACCGAACTGACTTGTATGTTTTTATTCTTCTCTGGATTACATTGAAACCAGGTGGGAATTCCTCCCCATTTGCTTTCTTCCTTAAATGCTACGTTTGGTCTTTGTATATTTTAATTGCATTTTTCTCTTGTTTCAAACCAAGGGACCCAAAGCTCCTTTTGTGTGTTTTGAGTCAAGATGTTTTTAATGAAATTTAGGGTAGGTTGAGTAAAAATCTTGGGATAAACTGATTTTTATATGTATTGTTTTATAGTGTCTAAAGGCTGACCAGGGATTCTTATCCTGAGATTCTTGGATGTCTGCTTAGAGTGCAGAAGCCTGAAATGTGCTTACAGTGTGTGTGTGTGTGTGTGTGTGTGTATGTATACACACACATTTACAAGAGTTGGCAAAAGTGGGTTGACAATTTTGAGTACCCAAAACACAGTTTATAGTTGTATTATTACTTATTCTTGTGTTATATGTTTTTGACTGCCATTTTTCATGTTTGTTGCTTCTAGTGCAGTGGATCTTTGATTAGCAGCCCCTCCTCACCTGGGACCCTCACACAAGGTTTCCTCCAGTTCCTCATTGGACTGGGCGATTTGGTAACCTGGCTTGAGTGAATTATTGAGGGATATTGTGAGTGAAGCTCTGAGGAGACAACAGTGGAGTGAAGTACTTGGGCTTTGTAACAGCTGTTCTTGATCTTCTGTGGTCTGTTTCCCTTCCATCTGCTTTTGAAATTGAATTCTAGAGGATTCATGGGGCTAGGCCAGTGTTTCCCAAACTTCTCTTCATGATGAGAATCACCTGGTGGAGTTGTTAAACTACAGGTTCCTGAATCCCAACTAAGAAGTGCTAAACTAGAATTTGGGGGAACATATAGGTAAAATTGTATACTCTAAGCTTAGAGCACTAATTAAGTATACAATTTTACCTATATGTTCCCCCAAATTCTAGTTTAGCACTTCTTAGTTGGGATTCAGGAACCTGTAGTTTAACAACTCCATCAGGTGATTCTCATCATGAGAGAAGTTTGGGAAACACTGGGCTAGGCTATGATCCTGTGTAAGTGATGGCACATAGAATTCTCATTCTCTTGCAATTGTCACAGATTCACCTGTCCTAAGTATATACTGTCCTTCCTTATTACTAAAGTTGTACTGTTTATATTTCAATTACAAAAGATTTGGGGACACTTTCTAAAATGACTGTAATAAAATATAACAAAAAAGCATTCAAACTATATGTAGAAATTGCATTGTTTGCTTTTCTCTACTCTCATTGGGTGAATGCTCATTTGTTTCTGGCTGGTACTCATTTCTCTTGGTCATTAGGTTGCCCCCAATGATGAAGCTGTGGTGACATTATTGTGTGAATGGGCTGTGAGCTGTAAACGGTCTGGCAAGCACAGGGCGATGGCGGTGGCGAAACTCTTGGAGAAGAGGCAAGCGGAAATCGAAGCTGAGGTGGGTGTTCCTGTCTGCTTGTTGAATGCCATCATTTAAACATTATGTTTTGGAAAAGATTGTTTTTTCTTATCCTCATTATGCTATAGTTTTTTCTTTTAAAGGAAAAAGGGAGAATGTACAAATTCATGGCAGGATCCCTCTAAATTAATGAAGCCATTAGTTTATATACTGGACTAACTTGTAATTATCTTTTATTTTTATTTTTTTCTTTATTAATTAAGGTATTACATATGTATCTTTATCCTCCCATTGCCCCCACAACTCCTCACTCTTGTTCTCATCCCCCTGGTGTCTGTGTCCATTGATTAGGCTTATATGCATGCATACAAGTCCTTTGCTTGACCTCTCCCACTTACCCCCCACCCTCCCCTACCTTCTCTCTAAGGTTTGATGGTCTGGTCCATGCTTCTCTGTCTCTGGGTCTGTTTTTTTCATCAGTTTATGTTTTTCATTACATTTCACAAATGAGTGAGATCATGTGATATTTATCTTTTTCTGACTGGCTTATTTCACTTAGCATAATGCTCTCCAGTTTCATTCATGCTCTTGCAAATGGTAAGAATTCTTTCTTTTTACTGCAGCGTAGTATTCTATTGTGTAGATGTACCACAGTTTTTTTTAATCCACTCATCTACTGATGGCACTTAGGCTGTTTCCAAATCTTAGCTATGTTAAATTGTGCTGCTATGAACATTTATGATTGGTGCTTCCAGTTTCTTGGGATATATTCCTAGAAGTGGGATCACTGGGTGAATTGGGAGTTCTATTTTTAGATTTTTTTTTTTTTTGAGGAAACTCTATACTGTTTTCCATAGTATTCCCACCAGCAGTGCAGGAGGGTTCCTATTTCTTTCCATCCTCACTAGCACTTGTCGTTTGTTGAACAATTATCTTTTAAAACAAAACTTTAATATATACATACATACATACATACACATATATGCATATATATGTATATCTTATATTATTATGTGTTTGTATACCTATTTTTTTATTATGGGTTTTAAAGCCACATAATATTTTAGTGGAACCAGAAGTACATTGCTCATAAAATTATAGGTATCAGTTGTTTTTTTGTTGTTGTTTTTTTGAGATTGTGCTCTGGCCCCATAGAAGGCAATTATGGCCTCAGCAGTAGATTATTATGGGAAAACAGAACTAGTTTTATAAACATGAGCTTTTGTTGAAGGGAACATTTTTAAGTGAGCCTCTTTTTGTGCCTGTGAGATTCTGCAAGGTCAGCTCTGGAGAAGGTGTGATTTGACCAGGTCACTTCCTCTCTCATCTGAACACCTAGTGGGCCTCCTACCTTGTCTCTTCATAGCCAGAGCCATCTTTTCAAAGTGGGAACAGACCATACTGTCCCTTTACTAAAGCACTATGATGGCTCCTCACATGGCCCACAGAGCCTCAGAGCTGCCCTGCCTGCCTCTCCCACCCCCTCTCCCAACTTTTCCCTCTGGGACACATACAACTGCAGCCGCCTTGGACCTTCTGTCCCTCCATCACTCCCAACTTGTTTTTATCTCCAGGTCTTTGCCCCTGCTGTTCTTTCTGGTGCCACACTCTACTCCCCATTTTCACAAAGCCAGTTTCTTTCTGCCATTCCTATTTCAGAAAGTGTCACTGTCTTTGTAGCATTCCCAGCTCAACATATGTCACCTCCTCTATCACTCTTCTCACATCACTCTGTTTTACCTTCCTCAGTGGCTTATTTAATGCCTTCCAGCCTTGAGGATATAAGCTCAACAATAGGGACCTAAGTACCCAGAATAGTGCTTAGTGCATAGTAGAAGCTCAATAAATGTTGCACAAAAGGATGAGCACTTAGCTGGCTCTGTTACTGATAATGAACCTACTTTCTATGAAGCTATTATAAAATGAAATAGGTAGAATGTTTTCATTGACATCTCTGTTGGTAAGGTACTATTCACCAGATACAAAAGATCATATTCTTGAAATTGGGACTTGAAGATATTGATGTTAAGGTGTAAGACATAGAAAAGTGTTTCATTGCTTTTTTTCTACACATTTATGACATAGACGATTCTACAGTGAATTGAAATGATTAAAGTTTAGTAATTGAAATTGAATTTCTCATATTTTATTGATGCTTCTGGATTGTTGTTATAATTCTTCTCCCCTACCCAGTGTGTCCCAGAATGAACACACCACACACACATACACACACCATCACTTTCAGAAGAGGTTCACACATAGATTGCTTTATAATTTTAATAGGTGTAACTATATTCTTTCAGAGATGTTTAAGATAATTGACTTCTAATAAACATAAAAATTTGACCTTTGTAAGGAAAGGATGGCTTGGAGAAATATGTTAACATAATAATTAATAACAATATTAAAGAATAAGGATCAAAAGGATATTGCAGAGAATAAAAAACAAGGATCTGGTTGCTTCTAAATGGTTTCTTTTCTGGTTTTCTAGGAAGTTTTATCTTTTAAAAAGATTGATAATTAATTTAAAGAATAGTTTATTGATTAATAGAAAGAAAAGATGGGAGAGGAAAAGGGAAAGAAAGAGAGAAACATGGATGTGAGAGGGTAACATTGATTGGCTGCCTCCTGCATGTCCCCTATGGGGATTGAGCCCAAAACCCTGGCATGTGCCCTGACCAGGAAGTAGAACCAGCAACCTCTCAGTGCTCAGGAAGACACCCACCTGCGCCACGCCAGCCAGGGCAGTAAGTCCCGTCTCACGAGTGCACACACGTCCCGTCTCACGAGTGCACACACGTTGGAACAGCTTCTCTAGATGCGTTTCATGAATTGTGGAGAGTAACAGAGGTTCTGAAAGATCTCATTGGTAACATGTGATGAATAAGTGAAAGAAGCTTTTTGGAGGTATTATGTTAGCTTTCTTATTCCACACCATACTTCTCCACACACACTTGTTCTTGGTTAGCTTCCTGAACTTGTAAAGTTATATTTACCTACTATGCATGGCCTACAAACATATAGAGAAATCTCAATTAATTTATATTTTATCTGAGAGCTTAAACATTAATGAAAAACTAACCTATTCATGATCCACGGTGACCATACTTGTCCTTTATAACTTTGCTTGTTTACTTTTAATCTTAGAGATGTGGGGAGTCAGAGGTCTTAGATGAGAAGGAGTCCATTTCTTCAGCGTCTTTTGCTGGATCTAGTTTGCCTGTTTTCCAGAATGTTCTGCTAAGATTTTTAGATACACAGGCCCCCTCATTGTGTAAGTATAAAGCTCTTTGCTTTTAGATCTTAAATAAGGAAATGGCCTCCATCCCCTTCTTTTAAAGCTGTTTCTTCTTTCTTTAAAATTTTATTTACATCTTGTCAAAAGTTCTTGGCACTGAATATAATGTATATTTTACTGAATAAATTTTTGTGGCATGTTTTCAATGGGTATTTTGTGCAATTTTAAAATTATGTGAACTTCAAAAGTTTAAAATTTTGTAGAGTTTAAAAATAAAGTGCTTCCTTCCTTTGTAATTATTGGACTAATTTTCCCTTTATAGATCTTTCTTACCAAAATAGAGGAGCTAAGATATTTCATGGTATATTGTGATTTGGAAATTTCTCTTTTCAAACCATTTTCTAAATTTTTTATTTTCTATCTTTGAATCTTAAAAGGTGGATGGAGGGTGGAAATCAAATAACGGCACTTTATGAGAAAGCCCTAGATACAAGGAAATTATTTGTAAAGATGGTTGGCTGCTTGCTAACTCTCTCTTGAATGTTCATGTTATCTTACTTTTTTTCTTTTTCTTTTATTCTGTAATTTGTGGCTAGTTGAGGGTTTGGGGAATAAACTACCCAATAGGTTCATACTGTGGGTGCACACTTTAAAACATGTTTGTGTGTGCTAAATGGGCTTGATCATATTCTGAGGTTTTATGTGTTAGAGTACAGCAGGGAGGGTCTTAGGATAGATAGTGATAGAACAACAGAAAGATAGCAAAAAGTGAAACATGATAGAAAAGGGAGAAAAAGAGTGTGGAGGTGTGGAAGAAGATGTTTGTGAAGAAGAAAAAGGTAAAGCTTCTAGAAATAGCCTCCTTCAGTTCCTCTGAGAAGGGCCTCCTTTTGGGTTGAATGTTGCCTGGGGGTCTTTAGGTATTTTATGGCTGGTCGAGTTCAGAGGAGTCAAGCTGATGGTTGGGATGCAGGGATAGAAATGAAACATGGAAAACAAAGCAGGGAAATGAGAAGACAGGAGATATACTGGATAGAGAGTATACTATTGCCAGGAGTGGGAATTAGCAGCTGTAATGTCTCTTGTGTCCTGGGGGAGACACACGTTTGCTCTGGGCTTCCTTGTCCGATCCCACTCCTGTTCTCTCTCGGAGAAATACATCCTCCTTCTCTGCCTCTGCTTGTTCTGGATCCCATTTTCTGCCAGCGAAGCTGCTTTTGTCTCTGTGCCGTAGGCTACTGTATTGAATGTGGTGGTGGATGAGAGCAGCCATTTAGGTGTCAGGTTTAATGTTCCTTGGATGGTCTTGTTCCTCTCTGTGTTTGCAAGTGTGCTGGGACCAGGGCTGAGCTTTGCAGCGTTAGTCTTAACATTTTTAACCTCTCAAAGGTACAGATACAAAGTTTTAGAGTGCAGTTACAATATTAAAGTCATAATGTAAATTAAATAAACTGGTTATGAATTTAAAAAGACAGAAGAGCTCCTGTCTATACCCTTTGAATTTCATTTTCCCCTTTACTTTCCAGTGAATCCCACTCACTTAAAAAAAAAAAAAATTACTTACCATTTGAATTGTGATTCTGTTGTGAAGTCTCCTTGGGGAAAATGTATAATGTGCCCACAAATGCATAGACACACTCAAATTCTGAAAGCAGCTGCAAAGAGGACAACAATTTTGGCCTATGGCGTTTTTTTGTTTGTTTGTTTGTTTTTTCAACTTCAAGTTTTGTGTGTTTAACTTATTATTTAAATGACTATTCATTTGCGTGGGCCCACTATCTTTAAACTTGAAGCTATACTTAGCATATTGAATAGTCTTTTCAATTGCAGTGGGACAGTCAAAACCTGTGAATCATTTCTATACAAAACAATAGTGCCTCATAGGAAATTTGGCAATAATCATTGATTTTGTAGAAAAACTTATGAAAAATGGTGCTAATATCATTAAGCTTTTTATAAAATTTATTTTACTTTTTAATGGGATCAGGGGGAACTGAAATTTTGGAGGGATTGTTTCTATAGCGGATCCTAACAGCGAATGTGAGAAGGTGGAGTTTGTGAACCTGGTGCTGCTCTTCTGTGAGTTCATCCGGCACGATGTCTTCTCTCACGACGCTTACATGTGCACCCTCATCTCCCGGGGAGACCTGTCCGTCACCTCCTCCACTCGGCCACGGTCGCCCTTGGGAGAAAATGCAGATGAGCACTACCCCAAGGATCACGACGTGAAGATGGAGGTATGGCCCTGGGATGGTGTGCCTGCTACCCCCATCTCCCTAACCCGCTCTGACGGATGCATGATGGAAGGGTGATCAACTTTTAATTGTATTCTCTTATTTCAAAGCTCGTGTATCTCTACTCCCACTCACAAAAAAAGACTAAAATTTACATCTTCCATAGTTATTTTTATTTTTATTTTTTTGATACTCTAAAACTATTAATGAAAAGATTTGACAGGCCATAATATTTTTCTTTGGATTAGAATTATGTGCTTCCAGTTTTATGTATTTCTAATCCCCAGTTTTCCTTTAACGTTTGTCTCAGAATTGGACTTGTTTTGGCCTAAAGTCCTCATTCAGTGCTCATTCTAAGGAGCATCTTTTCTTATGTATTTTGTTCACTAATTGTACCAGTCTTTTATACATAGTGGGAATTCTGTGTTAGTCTTAACACATCATGTTTTCATTCAATGAATGAAAAATTTAATCTTTCTCAAAAATTTAAAAAAATATATATTTTATTAATTTTTTACAGAGAGGAAGGGAGAGAGATAGAGAGCTAGAAACGTCGATAAGAGAGAAACATCGACCAGCTGCCTCTTGCACACCCCCCTACCTGGGATGTGCCCACAACCAACATACATGCCCTTGACTGGAATCGAACCTTTCAGTCCACAGACCGACGCTCTACCACTGAGCCAAACCGGTTTCAGCTATTTCTCAAAAATTTTAAAGTGTAGTTCTTTTCAACTAATTATTTTATGCTGTGAGTATGACTTTATAATTTTCTGCCAATTTTTGATATTTTGGACATTGTTCCAGATACTTATTGAAATCTTAAGGCAATAAAACATGAAATTGGTGATGGAAAATAGTAGAAAATGGTAAGGTATTGTGACAATTCCTTAACAATAAAGCCTCATGTTGGTTGTAGGAGAGTTTAAGTATATAATATTATATTTTTAAACCAGTGCCTATACTTGTAATTTAAAAAACCTGATATTAGAATTGCACACATTGATTCATAGTTTATACTCTTAAAATTTGGTGACTAAATGGTATAGAAATTAAAAAAATATTTAATGTAAATACTCTGTTTCTAAATTTGTCCACAGTATAAGGTGAAAAAATTAAAGTTACTTTACTTGTTTAGGCTTTATCTATGTTTCTGAATTTTCTTTTTTGTTCTTGGATATTAAGATATCTTATAGCTTAGATTTGTCTTACTAGGAAAAGTTGGTGAGCAAATGACTGGGAATAGTCCAGAGAAGGAGATTATGGTCAGCTTGTTTTTATCAGGACATTTGTGTGCTCTTCCCTAAAAAATCATGGAAGTTGAATCTTTCTCATCATGAGGACAAAGAGTGTGACTTTGCAAAGCAACATGTCTTAAACCTTCTTTATTTTTGGAAAAGACACTAAGAGGAAATAAGACAGCATGGTTAAGAATGTTACTGTGCTGCTTTAGCTTCAGTTTCTTAATAGCTACACCATCTACCATGTGACTTTCTTCCTCTGACATCATCAGGGACAGACGGTTATGGCACATAAGGGCATTGGCTCAGGAACTATTGATCTTTTTGATGAAGTAGACAAGTGACTTTAATTTGGGGTTCGGAATTCCCAGTAGGTTATCCATTGAATTATTATTGACTATGAATCCCTCCGTGACTCCTACCCCAGCTGGGCTCTGCCCTCTGTTTATTGCCCTGACACTGGAAGGACTTGTGTACCTGCGATGTAAATGTGACTACAGCACGTTCCTTCCCAGGGCACATTCCTTAGCTTTGCAGTTCTTTCCTGTTCTTTTATCCTTGGTTTTGGCTGTACTGCCTCCTTGAGAAATTTAACACTCCTGTCTGATTGTGACCTTTTGTTCATTTTGAGATTGGCATCTCTCAGGAAAAAGGAGTGTAGTAGTTTCATCAGGACAGTGCATGTTGATTTGCTGCATATGTCTTTAGCTTCTAAATAGTAGCTTTCCTGGCTGGACTTGCTATACATTCTTTTACTTTATCTAAGTATAATTATGTGTTCTTTCCCATGAATCTTAATGAGTCCCTCTTTGTAAAAAATATTGTTTGAGATACAGACTAAAACCTTTATGTTATTCATTAGCTTGTTAATTATTTCAGTGCATGTATTTTTGTAGGAAATATAGCCCTACAAGGAAAACACTTGTCTGTAGTCTGATTTGTCTCCAGCCCTCCAGGAAACATAGCTGGGCCCTTTTCTCATGTGTGTGGTCGTCATGGTCTCATCTTCAAAACTGAGGAGGATGGCAACAGCTTCCTAGTGATCTGAATATGAAGTTTATGGAAATAAAGAAAATTGCTGCATGTGTTTTGCTCAGTGGTTAAATAAGAAAAGGATATTGTTTGAGTGTTTTTTGTGTTGGAAGCTCTGTATGCAGTTTTGGGTTTTGGCTTCACTCTCTTTCATTTATAACTCCCACATTTGTTTTACACAACTTAGATTTTTTCTCCTATGCCTGGAGAGTCCTGTGAGATCATCAACCCTTCCTTGAGCAGAAGAATGTCAGTTAATGGTGAGAAGCTGCTGAAGAGAGAAAAACCGCGAGAGTTAATTTTTCCATCTAATTATGACCTCCTGCGACACCTGCAGTATGCTACGCATTTTCCCATACCTCTGGTAAGTCGGCATCAGTCAGTTGACAACTTGATTATTTCATTAGAGGATGATTAGCCATTGACTATTCAACTACTTGCCTGAGCAATACATGGGATAGCAGGTGAGTGAGTGTATTCTTTGCTTCTTTTGTTATAACACTGACCATATGGTTTTTGTACTGATGATTGTGCATGTGTGGTGTGGTACTACTAGCTGCCTAGATTTAATAAAATTTATTATATTAGTATCCTTTTATCGAGCATTTGAATCACTGCAAATAATGCCTAAATTTGTTTTCCTTCTTCAATTTGAAACTCATTCATTGAGTAGCATTTATGTGCACTGTATTGTGGTAATTTCTTTTGGTATTATGCAGATGAATAAGAATTTAGGTAGACAGGAAAGATGAATAAGATGGGAGGAGACAAATGTCTATAAAATGAATACCATCAAAAAGTAAAATGAGTAAAAATTCAAGTGTCCACTGGAAATTGAACCATTTGACATTTTTGGGTCTCCCCCACTCTCCAAGAGTAAATATTGGAAGGAGAGAGAGCATCTGATTGAGAAATTGGTTAGGGCTTCATGAAAGACATTGTGTGTGAGATGGATTTAGATTTTGACCCATTAACTGGAGAGCACATAAGAAATACTTACCAGGAAATTTTGTGTGTGAATTATAAAGAGTGAAGTGCTCTATTTTAAAGAGAAACAAGTTTAATTTTTCTCATTTGTAATAAAGATTGGGCCAAGATCTGTAAATGTTTTTATTTTTAGGTTCACTATCGTTCTTTCCTGGGCTTTTAAGTGTAATTTTAATGAGTAAATCTCATTGAAGACTATTAATTTAGCAAAAAATTTAATTTTAGGTATGCATTATGTTATTTTCTGGATATCTTTGAGGAGTTTTGATCTGCAAACTAAATATTTTCTTACATTTGTTTATTTATTTACTTATTGATTGATTGATTGGTTATTTTGGAACTTTCTCTGAAACAACTTTCAAAATCACTACACCCATGTATTCCCCGCCCCCTTGATTAAATTAAGAACCCCCTTTTTTGGTGTGAACTTTTCTATGTCCAGGGCTATATCAAAAGTTGGCCATAATTCTTTCTTGTTCATCACTGGCTGATGGTATCAACATTATTTTTTTTAATCCTCACTTAAGGATATTTCTTCCATTGATTTTTAGAGAGAGTGGAAGGGAGAAGAAGAGACAGAAACATTGATATGAGAGAGACACATCAATTGGTTGTCTCCTGCATGCCCCTGACCAGGGCCAGAAGCCTGCACCTAGGATATGTGCCCTTGACCAGAATCTAACCTGGGACCCGTCACTCTACAGGCCAAGGCTCTATCCACTGAGCCAACCTGGGTAGGGCTATCTCAATACTTATCAGCTGTTAACTGTGCCACTCATTTTTAATATTATATAATGGAATGATCTTACAGTTTATTCAGGGCAGCAGAAAGAGTAGCCTGATATTTTAGAGCTGTATCCTGAAGAATCCCTGGATGAACTATCATGATATCTGGGATTTTTTTAAAGTAGAGTCTGGGAGTGGGGTAATTGAAGTGGAGTGTATTTAACAGTAATGCACTGATGTTCATATTCCAGTTTTGACAAATGTGTTATGGGTGTGTAAGGTATTAACATTAGGGCAAACTGGGATGAAGGGTATGTAGGAACTCTACCATATTTGTTCCATTCTTATACATTTTATATTACTTCAAAATAAAAGGTTTATTTTAGAAAAAGAAGAAAAAGTTAGAGGGGAAATGAAGCAAATATGGCAGTGTTGAAAATGGTTGAAGCTGGGCGAGCAGAGCTTCACAGGGCTCCCCTTCACAGGGTCAGAGCAGATGCGCCCCACACACAACTTCTTCATTCTTTTGTTCACATCCTTAGCAACACTGTCTTCCTGGCATTTAGTATTGTAAACACTGTCCACTAACTTTCCTGAGGCAAAAACATGAATTACTTCTAATGGCTAATTCTCATGGTGAATTATGATATACAGTAATTCAATTGTATTGTAATCATAAAAAGAACTAATGAATGGATGTGGCAGGGTATACTTCATAGCCTTCCATCACCAGTTGCTCTTAATTCCTTTATGCAGTGAGTATAATTAGAAGAAGGCATCAATATAGGGAAATAAAGCATATGCTAATATTACATGTTATAGAGTCTGGTTTTCTTCCTTACTAAAAAGGAAAATTTGGCTGACTTACCAAGCAGGTGAGCTGACTATAAGAATATGATTTAAAACAAAGGTTCTTTTACCCCTTTCTCTTAAGATGTGGCCCTAGTGACTGAAGGCCAAGAAGAGAGGACTAAAGTGGACTTAACCAAAAGGTTTTGAAAAATAGACTAGTTTTATGTATGCTCTTTTAGGAATAATGTCTTGATCTGCCCATTAGCAAAAACATGTTCTTAGAATACCAACAAGCACAGGTTCTAGGATAAGCATCCTACCAGCCTATTGGGGTTACAAAAGTGATGCTGATGGGGACTCCTGTCATTATCCCTCGCCAGCTAGCATTTGTTCAGAACTTACCATGTTATGAGTGCAATAGGCACTTATGTGTGTATTTTCTTATTTACCATTCTCTTCAAACTCTAAGAATATGTTTGTGAAATTGTAGACAGGAGTTGTCTTGGGTCAGGCTTTAGAAAATAATTCTTCTCAATGCAGATCTAAAAAGGAGTATGGAATCATACACAGTTTCTTAATCATGGCGACTAATGTTCTATCATGATATCTGGGATTTTTTAATCATGGCGACTAATGAACTATCATGATATCTGGGATTTCATGATAGTTACCGGTTGTTTTAATATGAGCTTTTACTATTGAGATGAAAACCCTCCACAAAACTTCATGTATGCTTGTCTAAACTTTCCAAACTTCTTTTCTTTAAATAAGTGCCTTATTCATCATCTGTTGAATTGTTTCTGCTTTACTGGCAGTAGAGAGATTGAAGGGTGTGACCCTTAGAGCAGGAGTCACCCACACTTCAATGTGTGGCCTCAGATGGGGTCACTCCCCTCCAGATCTGAGTGGCAACACCCAGCCTAGCACCACTGCCTTCCTAATCAAGCCTTGTGGTGTGGCCTGTGCATATCTATTTTAAGACCATTTGAATGATGCTTTTTCCATAACTTCAATGTGAGTTTCTAGGTCCAAAACAGTAGTTTGGCAGTTAGTATGATTTAACAATCCTCCCTGAAAATGTTTTAGGTTCTATTTCTTATTACTATAAAATAAAAATAAGAAATCACTGGATTTGCCATTCTAACAGCAGAAAGTTATTTGGAGTAGTGAGGTGAAAGGTTACCTTCTTTGAAGAGGTGGATTAAAATAAATCAGGATTCATGTAAAAATAAGCTGGCTTTTTTTTTTTTTTAAGTGATAGAAAGGGCTTTAAGTTGTGTTGCTGAAGGGCATTATGACAACTTATATAGAGTTTATTCTTGTCCCTTGAACATAAGGAGGTCAATGACGCTAACGCCCTCACAGTAAAAAATCTACATATAACTTATTATTCCCCACAAATTTAGCTGCCAATAACACACTGTTGACCGGGAGCCTTATTGATTTCATAAACAGTTGTTGGACACATATTTTGTACATTATATGCATTATGTATTTTATTCTTATAATAAAGTAAGCTAGAGCAAATAAAATGTTATTGAAAAAATCATAAGGAAGAGAAAATGCGTTTATAATACCATATGTATTTATTGAAAAAAATTTGTTTGTAAGTGGACCCCTGCAGTTCAAACCTCTATGTAAGGGCCACCTTTGTTTTGCGTATTTTTATCAAGAAATCAGTTCCAGGTATTTCAGTGAACACCTCTGTGTCTGCCATAGAAGTCATTTGGATTTCAAGGATATTGCAGGGGTTTACATTGGTTTAACAAGAGTGTTTAGTTTTTTTGGTACAAATATTTGCTTAAACAACCAAGAAGTACTGTTTGGTTTGCATTTAAAAACAGGATTTCACAGCAAACCATGCTATATTTGCTAGCCGTCTTCTGTACTTTTACATTCGGGGGCTCTCTTTCCTCATCTTTTCCAGTTGCTTTGCACTTGTCCAGTAAGGGAAGAAGTCGCAGCATAAATTTATAGCACAATCCCATGGTTTATGCATCATTTTCACAACTTGATTTTTCTTTCTGAGCCCTGCTCTCCTTACTTGAAGCAAAAGTAGCAGTGACCTTTAAGCGGAATGCCTTGGAGAGCTGATAGTACAGGAGAGGGTCAAAGCACAAGTTTGACACCGCTAGGAGCAGTGTGGCCTCTTTGGCTTTGAAGAGGGAAATCCTGGTTGCACAATCAGATATGACCTCGGTCTGGCTGAGCGTGTATGGGATTCTGACAATGTGATAAGGAACAAAACATATAATGTAGGCTGCAGTCACTAAAAGTATGTTGACGAGAGCTCTTTTCACATTTGAATAATTTTCATTATCTTTGTTTCTGTAGAGTTGACGAATTACTAGGCAGTTTGATATTAAAATGATGGCGGAGAAATTTAAAAATATAGCTATACACAGGAAGTTTGTCAGCAAATGCCAATTTCTTCCAAATTCTTTTTTGAATTCCATGCATCCTACATTTGGCTTTTCCTTGATGTCTTTGATGGGAATCACCATGTTTGGCACCATTATCAGAAGGACCATTCCCCACACGACGGCTGATATCATTTTGCCAAATGCAGGTTCTTGTATTCGATAAATCTTGCTGCTGTGTGTCAATTGAAGACAGCGGTCAATGCTGACAAATGCTAAGAAGATAATTGATAAGTACATGTTAATGTAAATGAGGCAAGCTGTTACTTGGCAGTGGAATATCCTCAGCTTCCAGGGTGCCACACCCAAGTCAACAGCAATTTTCACTGGTAATGCCAGAGTGAGCAGGAAATCAGCTGTAAGCAAATTAATTAAGTATATGCTTACACACCTGTGATTTGTGTTTTTCTGCATAAAAGCCCATGTTGCAAAACAACTC